CAACATGCTGCACCCAGGCGGGGCTGCGCACGAGCACGTCTCTTCCCAGATGAAACGGTCACGCGCTGGCAGCCGTGCAGGTTGCTAGGGTGGCCGGTGTGGAACTATTCCGGGCCCCCTCCACCACATGCCCTCGGCGGCCAGCAGCAGCGGAATGCCAGCCCCTAGCCATTGGGTGTCTTCCGTCCACACCGGCCCCTCAGCGCTTCTGCGGGGCTGGCCCAACGTTCCCTTCGAGCCCCTGGGCTTGGGGTGGCCACGGCTTTTCCTCTCCTGCTGACGCTCTGGCCAGATCTCTCTCTTCTCTCCTGGCCTAACGCTCAGCCAGTGTGAGCTTCCTGCCGCCGCGGCCCTGTAATACCCTTCCCCATGTGGTGGTGACCCCCGAGCGTACGATTACTTTCGTTGCTACTTCATAACTGTGATGTTGCTACTGTTATGAATCGCCATCAGAAATACGTGTTTTCCGATGGTCTTAGGCGACCCCTGTGAAAGGGTCGTGCGACCCCCGAAGGGGTCGCGACCCACAGGTTGAGAATCACTGCATATAGTGTGATGATGCGGGCTCTGGGGTCAGACTCCAGATTTGAATGAGCTCTGCCTCTCAGCCCCAAAACACTGGCCAGATAGTTTCACCTCTCTGGGTCTTCCCATCTCTGCCCCCGGGCGGTGGAGCCGGGTCCCGTGGTGGGGACGCAGGGCCGGGTCCCGTGGTGGGAACGCAGGGCCGGGTCCCGTGGTGGGGACGCCGAGCCGGGTCCCGTGGTGGGGACGCAGGGCCGGGTCCCGTGGTGGGAACGCAGGGCCGGGTCCCGTGGTGGGAACGCGGGGCCGGGTCCCCCGGTGGTGGGGACGCCGAGCCGGGTCCCGTGGTGGGGACGCGGAGCTGGCTCCCCGGGCAGTGGGGACGCCGAGCCAGGTCCCCCGGTGGTGGGAACGCGGGGCCGGGTCCCGTGGTGGGAACGCGGGGCCGGGTCCCGTGGTGGGAACGCGGGGCCGGGTCCCGTGGTGGGGACGCGGAGCTGGCTCCCCGGGCGGTGGGGACGCAGAGCTGGCTCCCCGGGGCGGTGGGGACGCGGAGCTGGGTCCCGGGCGGTGAGGACGCCGGGCCAGTCGACAGGAGGTGGACGGTGCTGCTGGCCGCGGGAGGCTTGCCCAGCTCATCTCCCAGCCCAAGCCTCCCTGCAGCCCTGCCACGTCCCAGCAGCGCAGCCCCAGGCAAGAACCGTGACCGCCCTTGACCTTTGCCGCGTGAAGAAGGACCGAGGAGGCCGGCTTCGCCAAGGCAGCGAAGGAGCACGCGTGAGGACTGAGCCCCGTGCCGGGCAGGAGCACGCTCACTCCGCTGAGCCCTTCTCTGCTCGCACTGACCAGCCGGCCTCCTCCGTCCGGGCCCCTCCTCGGGAGCAGGTGCCTGCAGGCCCGCGCTGGGGCTCCGGGGATCTGGGTGTGTAGGCGGGGCGCATGCGCGTCTGCTGCAGCTCCGTCCCTCTGTGGGGGTGGGCACCACAAGGGGAGACCCAGCGGAGTTTTCATGGGGCACCGAGGGGGAGCCTGTGCCCAGCAGGTGGACCCTCTCGCCTGGCCTTCCCAGAACCTGGCCCTGGAGACTCCTGAGCAGGGCGGAAGCCTCTTCCCAGGGCGACCGCAATGGCCTGAGGGTTTTGTGACTCAATTCTGTAAAATTGTGAGGAAAATCCTAGCGATGCCCATCGAGTCTCTTGGGAAAAGAAGCCAAGTGGGTGGCAGAGGCCCACATGTGGCCTGGGGCAGGGGGGCCCCTCTGAGCCTCAGTGCACCCACACATTCAATAAACACTGGTGGACACCTATTGTGTCCCGTCCCTGGGCAGCTTACCTCCTAGTGGGGGAGAGAGCTAATAAAGAAGTAATTACAGCCCTGGCCGGTTTGGCTCAGTGGTTAGAGTGTCGGCCTGTGGTCCAGAGAGACCCGGGTTCGGTTCCCGCTGAGGGCATGTACCTCGGTTGCAGTTTGTCCCCGGCCCTGGTTGGTCGTGCGGGTGGCAGCCACTCGATGTGTCCCTTTCACGTCGATGTTTCTCTCTCTCTCTCTCTTCCTCTCTCTCCCTCCCACTCTGTCTGAACAAAAAATGGAAAAATGTCCTCGGGTAAGGATAAAAAAAAAAAAAGTAATTAAGCCTGTGATGCTGGGGTCTGGCGTGTGTTTGAAGAGCCATGACACAAGGTAAATGCAGAGCTGAGGAGCCAGGGAACTTTCTGGGAGGGCGGCCGGGGAGCTGAGATGAAGGCGGGGGTGAGAAAGCAGGAGGTGCAGACATCTAGACAAATGTTATTCCCGGGAGAAGGAGCAGCATGCGCCAAGATCCTGGGGCAGGATATTGGAGGAATATCGTGCAGGCAGTGTAGCTGGAGCAGAGAGAGGGAGAGGGAGGGGGAGCTCAGAGAAGTAAGGGGCCACATGGCCAGCGGCCTTGGAGGACTGGTACGGACTTGGGCTTCGCTTCGTGGGACTGAGGGGGTCCTGGTGGGTTTTGAGAAGAGTGACAGGCTCCTTCCTTTGTTTGACAGGATGGTTCTGGCTTCCTTCTCGAGAATAGTCTTAAGGAGGACACAGGGAGAGGCAGGGAATCAGCTGAGAAGCTGTGGTAACAGTCCAGGCAGGAGGAGGCGGCTTGGACCAAAATGATAGCAGAAGAAGCAGTGACGAGGGCTCAGATTCAGAAAATATCTCAAGGTGGAGCCAACATGATTTCCTGGCAGATCAGATGGGGATGTGAGAGAGAAAGAGGGGCCGGGCCTGCCTCTAAGTTTCTGGGTGGCCTGGGCAGATGGAAGGACGGAGGTGCCATCGACCGAGCTGGGGCAGACCAGAGAGGGGGCCCGTTTAGTGGCTCCATTTGAGACTTGAAATATCAGACCCCGTTCAGCATGCAAGGGGAGATGTTGAGCACCAAGCTGGCTGTATCTCCTCTCATCTTCAAAACAATGTGTGGTTCGCATCACCGTGTAGGAATGGGGGGTTTCCAGTCAGTGGACCGAGGTTCTGGCTGAAGGGCGCATACTAAGTGTGGATGCGACGTGTAAACAGTGGGGCCGGGATTTGATTGCAGAGCCCACCCTCTCCTCCCCAACTGCCCACGGATCTTTGTGGACAGGCGGGAGGTACATGCCTTCAGAGCTGAGCTCCCCCAGGTATGAAACCTCTCCTACACCCAGAACCGCTCTGTGTATCCAAAGGGCGTATCTCCTTCCATCCTCCCAACCACCCTGTCAATACCATGATTATCCTCATTTTACAGCTACGGAAACGGAGGCCCAAAGAGCCTCGGAGTCTGTAAAAGGTGGGTCTGGGACGTGATCCCAAGATCAAGCTCTCAAGCCCTAGGTCATACTCCAAAAACACATGTCAAATCAAAGAATAGCATGGAAGTGACTAACATCAAGACATCGCTGCTTGCAAAGTATCATTTGAAGACAGCGTCACCTTATCTTTGAATGCACAGATGTTTATTGCATGAAGAAGTCGCAGCCCCAACAGCTGGAACCCATAAAGCTTTTCACGTCACAAACACGTACTGAGCAACTACACGAGCCAGGCACTGCGGGACACAGGGACTACAGGGGTGACGGGGGCGCCGCGAGGCTCAGGGTCAGTGCAGTTGGCAGGGTCATTGTAGTCCAAGCACTAGGTGCTATCATCAGGGCACATGAGCTAGAGGCACAGTCAACACTTGTCTTTTGTCCTGGTCTCTCTTATCGGCACAGGCTGAGTGCGAGTCCCGTCAGGGAGTGGTGTCTTCTGCATATTAGGAAAACGGATGTGTGCGCGCCGAGTCAGTGTTTCTCTTACGAATGGGGACTTCCACTTCCTTGCGATGTCACAGTCTCCTCCTGTGTACATCGGGGGAGGGAGAACGTGGTTAACGGCGGATAGGAGCTTGATAATGTTAGGTGGTGTTACACTTGGCTTTCATGACGTTCGTATGCCTACTTTTCTAAGACAAAGACAAAATAAAGACTGACGCCTTTTCCTCGCCACGGGGGCGCGAAGCTGCGTTGTTCCTGCCTCGTGCAAGACGTCTCGTGTCGACGCGCGCGCACGGCAGGCACCTGGCTACAGAGCGAGCATCACCCGAGCGCAGGGCTTTACCCAGGATGCCAGTTTAGGACTGGGGGACTGTAAAAAAAAGTCTGGCCCGGCCAGTGTGGCTCAGTGGTTGATCGACCCCTGCACCAAGAGGTCGCCAATTCGATTCCTGGCCAGGGCACATGCCCAGGTTGTGGGCCCAATCCCCAGTGAGGGGGCGTGCAGGAGGCAGCCAGTCGATGTTCTCTCTTATCAATGTTTCTATCTCTCTCTTCCTCTCCTTTCCTCTCTCTCTAAAATCAATAAAAAAAAACAAAAACAGCCCTGGCGGGTTTGGCTCAGCGGTTAGAGCGTCCGCCTGCGGTCCGGAGAGACCCGGGTTCGGTTCCCGCTAAGGGCACGTACCTCGGTTGCAGTTTGTCCCCGGCCCTGGTTGGTCGTGCGGGTGGCAGCCACTCGATGTGTCCCTTTCACATCGATGTTTCCCTAACTCTCTCTTCCTCTCTCTCCCTCCCACTCTGTCTGTACAAAAAATGGAAAAATGTCCTCGGATGAAGATTAAAAAAAAAAAAAAAAAAAACAGTCTGTTCAGCTCTGGCCAGTTTAGCTCAGCAGTTAGAGCATCAGCCTATGGACCAAAGAGTCGCGGGTTCGATTGCAGCCAAGGTCATGTACCTCAGTTGGGGTTCAGTCCCTGGCCCTGGTTGGGGTTGTACAGGAGGCAGCCAATCAGTGTGTCTCTCTCACACTGATGCTTCTCTCTCCCTTCCTCCCTCCACCCCTCCCTCCCTCCCTCCTTCCCACTCTACCTGAAGACAAATGCACAAGTAGCCTCGGGTGAGGATTTAAAAACAAACCCCAGTCTGTTCAGAGGTGATTTCAGGGCCAGTCTGCGATGACTGTCTGACGGTGTTTTCTCTGCCTGTCCACAGAAAAGCCTGGACACCTACTGCTTCCTGGTCTTCGCGGGAATCTGCTTCGCAGGAGCTCTGTATTTATATTTCGTCCTGCCTGAGACCAAAAACAGAACCTACGCGGAAATCAGCCAGGCGTTTGCCAGAAGGAACAAGGCACACCCACCAGTGGAGAAAACGGACTCGGCTGAAACTGATGACAAAAACACCGAGACGCCTGGGCCAGACCCCTCCTCCACGCTGGACAATGATGTCAAAAATGGGATTGTCTAAGCAGATGGCCTCGCCATTCCAGAAAACCAAAGATTCCCTTACACATTTCACAATATTAAGTATTTAAAAATAAACCTCTGCCCATCTACCACTGCATCCATCTGGGATTTATGCATGGTCGAACCCCCCAAACTCTTCTGGAAGCTGGAAGGAGCACCCCACGTGTCAGCAGACCCAGAGTTCTTCTATACAGACCATGGCCTGCCTTCTTCACGCCGCAGCCCGTGGTTCCAAAGGGAAGTTGGAAAATAGCCCCGAGACGCTTTCTCAAAGGAGCACAGTACAGTCTGCACGGGACTTGACGCACTGAGCACCCCTGACCGTGGTTGAAGTCCTGCTCCACCATGGTGTCCATGAGCTGGTTCTGAATCCCCAGAGAGCCTTTGGCTTCAGTCCTGGGTGCAGGTGTTCAGAATTCAGGTGAAGGCCTCTTCCTGCCTCCTAGTAAATGCCTGGTGCCCATTTTTGGCTCTGCCCTGTGGACCTCAGGCTCGGGGGAGCCTGGTACCAACCCTGCCGTCCGCTCCGCCTTTCTTCATCTCTGCCCCATGGGCGAGACCTCCGGCCCTGGGAGGTCTTCACCGGCTGAGTGGCAGAGAACAGAAAGAGGGTCAGTGTGCGGCAGACCCAGAGAGGCAGTTGTCAGGAGTGAATTTCCAGTGGGCGGGGCAGGCCCTGCAAATCGAACTCTTCAACAGGGAGGACACAAGCAACGCTCAGGATGACTCAAGCGGAACACAGGCTCGGTGGGAAAGGGCACCGTGGCCGATGAGTGACGTCTACCACACGTGGGCGTCATGTTTGCCAATCCCAGAAGCAACGTCTCTGAAAGAACGTGCATTGGCCAGGGCTCCCAGAGGAACAGAACTGTTCTCAGGCCCCCTCGGAGACCCCGAGGCTCGGCTCCAGCCCACCACCGTAAAGCGAGTGTCAAAATAAAATGAGTCACCCGAACTTTGGGGTTTCCTGGTGCGCATAAAAGTTAATTTCACACTCTACTGTAGTCTATCAAGTGTGCAATAGCATTATGTCTAAAATATGTACGTACCTTAATAAAAAATATTTATTGCTAAAAATGCTCGTCGTCCTCTGGGCCCTCAGCCAGTCGCCATCTTTTTGCTGGTGGAGGGTCTCACCTCGGTGTTGGTGGCTGTAACTGATCGGGGTGGGGGCTGCTGAAGGTGGGGGGCCCTGGCAGTTTCCTCAGACGAGCCAGGTTTGCCAGACCAACCCACTCTTCCCTTCATGCATGGCATCCCTGCAGCGGGCAATGCTGGTTGATAGCATTTTATCCACAGTCAGAATTCTTTCAACATTGCAGTCTTATCAACTACATTCATAAAATAGCCTAAATCCTTGGCTGTCGTGTCAACCATCGTCACCAGGAACGAGGGTGCCAGTAGACTTGCCACAAACCTCCGGTGCGTAAAAAATGCCTCTTTCTCGAGTTCACTAACCAGGGAGACTAGCCGGTGGGTGACGCGCATGCTGTCCCGACCCAGGCCAGCTTCCTTACCCTGCTCCTCGTGGCTGCCTCTGCTCACAGGCACCTCCAAGGACTCCCTTCCTCCTCTCCTCAGAACCCCACAGGCGCCGGCTTTCTGACCCCACTCCTTAACCCCTTTTAGTCTCTTTCTGGTACAAAGTAGGCACCAGAAAGAAACATTGTCTTTATTGGAAGGAAGAGCAAATGAAAGGATGTGGATACGGTGACAGGCACTCTGGCCACCCACCTTGGACCATGGAGTCGAAGGGCACCCCCATGAGTGCAGGGGAGCCAGCAGTAAGGGTCCTGGGTCTGGACGTGCTGGAGCAGAGAGGCCGGAACACCCTGACCTGCCTAGCAATGGCCTTTGCCTATGAGCGTCAAAACCTCTCTTATCTGGGGTTCCTCATACTCATGACCAACCCTAAACTCAATTCACCGGGTCGCGGTAGGAAAGAGCCCAAGGCAAATGAGAATATGGGAGCCAATCAGATTCTTTAGACACTTGGCCAGTTGTGTCTTTGGGGCCCAGGTGTGTCCAGTCAAGCAGCAGGGACCCAAGTTGGGGGATGACCTGGACAGCAGCTTTGCCTCGGAGCTGTCTGTGGTGCTGACCTGGGTTTTCTGCCTGACATTAATTTCCTTTCGAGTTTCCAACATACTTCCACAGATTTGCCGATGCTGCTGGAGAAAACGTGTGAAGTTAAATATTACTGGAGGCCTTTCATTCGTTCCTGTCCCTGCCCTACAGGACCTCAGAAACGTGGCCTGGCCCCCTGTCTGCAGAATAACCATGCTGATCTTCATCCCCACCTGTGAAGCACACCTGTCCATTAACCTCTTCCACTGGGACAACCGGCCCCCGCTGACCTGTGATGGACTGAAGCATTAACGGCCCTGCCGCATCGAGTCCAGACTTAGCCTCGCAACGGTCTTTGGTCACGGAGACATCAGAAAAGGAGACACAAGCAGAAGCTTGATGAACACTTGTGTTCTAGGGGTTTTCCTCTTGGATGCTAATGTCATGACGTAAGGGAGCCCAAGCCTCCTTGGGACAGAGAGACCAGAGAGAGAGGCTGAGCCCGGCTGCAGGGGACGACCAGCTGAGAGTAGCTGTGTGTGTGAGTCTATGAGAAAGCAGCAGAGCCACAAGAAGTAATGAAGCGTTGCTTTGAACTGCCATGTTTTGCCACGGTTTGTTCAATGGTGTGCTGATAGCTGGCACAGCCCATTGTTCTTTGCTGCATGTTCCGATCCAGGGAGTTGTGTGCCGCAGACAGGAACAGGATTAACACTCTGGGGTGGAGTCTGGTTCATGCATCCCGGGAACATCTGCTGAATACCTACGCTACACCTGTCCTGGGGGAGGGCGAGCCAAACACGGATGCAACCAATCTCTTCCTTCGAGAGGCTGAGATGTTTGGAAAGACAAACCACTGATCGTCAGCACAAGTGTGGCGGGCCCCCTGCCGTCCTCCTCCTTGGCACTCGGATAACTTCCGGTCACCGCTAAGACTGTGCTGGGGCACTGCTGCCTCGAGACCCCTCTCTGTGCCCCAGGATTGCCTGGGTTCTTTCCTTCTGATTCCCACAGGAGCTCTGTGCCCCTTTACTGAGGAGGTGTCCCTGTGTTGGAGCTGGGGTGATCTTTCTCCTTGAATGCCTTCCCTCCTAGACTCTGAGACTCTACGAGAAAATGACTGATTCATGTTCTCAGGGCTCCATGTTCCTGGCAAGTTCTCACGACATGTTTGCTCCACAAGTAAATGCCACGGTCAAGATCTGAGGAGGCTGTGATGGCCCCTGAGGAGAGGATGCCTAGGACGGCCGGGTGATGGGGATGGGCGCTGAGTGGTCACAGTTGAGCTGCAGCTCAGATTCGAGCTCACCTGAGGGGGGAGGGGCGTGGAGACACGGGTCAGTGGCGTGGAGTGGCACATTCAGAGAACAGCAAGTCGTCGATGTGGGTATGAGGCGGAGATCGGGAGACCGGGCTGCTCAGTGGTTTGGGTCTAGGCTGTGAAAAACCAGGGATGAGTGTGGCACCAACGCCCCTTCCTCAACGTGCCCGCCCCACACCCCCACCCACGGCTGCACATGGGACTCCCAGGAAACACCTGTTCTCCTACACTTCTAACTTGAGTAAATGACGGGACGCTGGGAGGTCCGCTCATCACGACCAGCGAGGCTTCTTCTCGGTTCGCTTCCGCTGAAAACTCCCGAGCCGGCTGCGAACCCTGAGGAGGAGGAGGAGGAGGGGAAGGGGAGGGGGAGGAGGGGGAGGAGGAGAAGGAGGAGGAGGAGGAGGGGAAGGGGGGAGGGGGAGTCGTCGTCCGCATTGGGGGACGGGCTCGGCAGCTGCTCACGGTTTCAGACGTTTCCGTAATTTACACGAAGATGTCAATGTGATTATCTTTCTCAGCATCACTTCCCCGGGCAAATTTGTACATTAAGTGGAGTAAATTTCCTCTCATCAAATCACAGCATTTGGAGATGGCAGTTTGTCTGACCAGGAACTAGAGCTCGGAAGTAATAAAGGTGAAGGAGGCTTGCCCAGCCGGTGTGGCTCAATGGCTGAGCGTCGACCCTGCACCAAGAGGTCGCCGGTTCGATTCCCGGTCAGGGCACATGTTCAGGTTGTGGGCCAGATCCCCAGTGGGGGGCATGCAGGAGGCGGCCAGTCGATGTTCTCTCTCATCGATGTTTCTCTCTCTCCCTCCCTCTCTCTAAAATCAGTAAAGAAAAAAAAACTTTTTAAGGCGCGGGCGGAGGCAGTGTTGCAGAGGCTGTGGGAAGCCAGACTCAGCAGCCGGGACCACGGGCCTCTCCGCCTCGAGCAGACACGACTCAGCTACGCGCTACTCGCCTCTTGGCAAACGGAGAGTGTGGCAGCCCATGTAGGATCTAGAGGCAGAACAGAACCCCTCACAGAAGGTATCCTCGCTGATGGGAGCAGATGCCTCAGAAGCAGGCTTCTAGTTTTATCCCATAAGTGAGAATAATGTTTCTGCCAGAACTGTTAGGCGTTTTCACACATATGATCCCCTCTGGGTCCCACAACAGGGCTGTAAGGTAGGTGCACACGCTCGTCATGTCCATTTCTCTTTCCTCTTGGCGTTCAGCACAGTTCTAATTAAATAGCCCGGGTTGGAGACCGGGCCACGGGATACGTCCCATTACCTGCGTGGTTTGTTGCACATAGTAAGTACTAAACAGAGAACTGCTGAGTGAACAAATTAATTGTGAGTAAGACCATTTTTTGAAAGCAGGGAATGACAGATAGAGGAACCGAGTTTAAAGATGTTAGAAATCACCAGGCCAGGGTAGTCTGGCTGAAACCTAATGGAACAGAACACACCCAGCAAAGGAGCGTGTATCGGTGAGTAGGCTTTCCGTGGCAGGGGACTAGATTCTCATTCATACTAGATTATGATTTTTTTTTTTTTAAATCCTCACTCGAGGACATTTTTCCATCTTTTTTTGTTCAGGTAGAGTGGGAGGGAGAGAGAGGAAC